GCCAAAGAAGCTGTGGCCAGAGTCTATGTGCTGCCTTTAGTTTGAAGTCACAGAACCTTGACTTTTGTCCGCTAACTCCAAAGCCCATGACTATCCCTTGGACCTAAAGCAACAGAGCCTAGGGGCTGCCTCTGTTGTATTTCCCAGCTGCAACCCCCTGCCCCCTTTCTGTGAGACTCTAGGCCCCATCGTCTCTGAAGCATGGAAGGAGGCCCACGATGCGCTAGAATCTGACAGGAAGGACGTGGACACAGCCCCAGAAAGTGATGCTCTGCTCTGCACTCGCTCTCTCCAGACCTAGTTCAGAGGCCAGTTCTGAGCATTTGAAAGGAAAAGGCGGGGGGCTGAGGGAAGGGGTGAGTAACAGGAACGGCAGCAAAAACAGCCGATGCTTCCATTAAGTCTGTCCCTGCAGAGGCCCTGAGAAGCAGGGGATCACACAGGTTCCTCTCCGAGCCTGAGCAGCAGGCCCCTCACTGTTGGCAGCCCTAAAATTCCTTCCTCCAAGGCCTCTGTGACCTGCTAATCAGGGAGGAAAGTAGAGCTATTCAGGCCTCTGAAGAACGGCTTGCCACTCCTACACCACAGGGCCAATCCTGGAGGCCTCCCTGCAGCTGCTGCTTTACCTGCTGGGGCATTCCTGATTAGAGGCAGGGGTCACAAATGGGGACTGTCACTCAGCTTGACGCACGTCCACTTGGGAAGTCCCGCCCTCTGATTAAGGACATGCTTAGGGCCTACTCCTTTCTTGGCAGGGAAAAAAAAAACCCAGAATCAGGAATCAGGACTAGTTTCTTTAATCATGGTTGTCCAGGGGGCATGGAGGGCCCAGCACAGGCTCCTACAACCGCACTCCCCAGGGTAAGGTCTCAGCATTTTGAAACAGAATAATGGCAGACAATGACATTTTTGGACAATGGCTTATACAACTGATCTTGTTTCAAAAGCTCTCTCGCAGCCACGCGCTGAGAAGAGGAAGGTCGGGTTCCTGCCTGAGCCCAGAAAGACCAGCCTGAGTCTATTAGAACCCTGCCCTCCCCAATGGGCAGTCATTGTTCCTGGAGGGACAGAGGGTGAGAGAGATACCCACTGACTTAGGGTGATTTAAAATGCAAGATCCTAGGCAAACCCCAAATGTACTGAAATTCCTCGGGGATGGGACACACAGAGGCACAGGACACTGGTGAGTCCCTTGTCTCCTGTCCTGCGAGGACCATGCCTGCCCCTGTGTGAGAGGGCAAGTCCCCAGACTGGCTCTGAGGGGGGTAAGAGACGGAGTGCCCAGCAGGAAGAGAGGCACCCCTCTACTCCGTCACCAATGACAACAATGTCTCCAATGTTAGCCAAAGCCCCAGAGGAAGTTGGCTCCCGGTGTCCTTGGCTCAGAGCAGACACTTGCTTTTTAGTAGCCCCACCCCCACTTCATGACTGAGAATAAGACACTCCTTCAACACGGACAGCAACTTTTCTCCTTCTTTCCTATAAATCACGAAGGCAAGGAGCTTCTGGAAACGTGTGGAGTTCTAAGTCGCTGGGAGGTTGGGTTGGGTTCCTGGACCATCCAGTTTATTCCAAGACTTTGAGTGGTTCTGACTTCATCTATTTGTTTTCCTCAAATACTCCTGTCCTGCATTACAAAATGGCGTCTGACTCATGGGTTCTGGAACACTCTGAGTCCTAGTATTTGTGGCAGTTAGTAGGATCAAGGCAGAGACAGAGAGAGACCGGGAGACAAAGACAGAGAGTGTTAAGGGAAAGAAGGAGAAGAGAAGAGAAACCGATGAAAGATAAGAAATGAGGGGCAAAGAAAAAAAGATGAGACAGGTGAGAAATAGAAAGGAAAAGAAAAGACAGGGAAAGGAGGGACAAGAGAGCTTTGAGAGATGGACTGCAGATAGAAGGAGAAACAAGGAAACAGGAGAGACAGTGACACATGGGGAGACCTATCAGACAGAGAGATGAGAGACAGAGAGGTCAGAGACAAAGTCAAGAGACGATGGAAGATAGGGGCCAGGAATCAGAATGAGAAACAGAAATAGGCAGAAAAATGAGACAGACAGACATCGAAAGAATAAGAGAGGCAGAGAGAGAGAGAGATCTATGTACATAGAGACAGAGACACGCAGAGACGAGGTCTGTGGCTGTTGGAGGCAGAGGGCTCCTCTTCTGTTCTCAACTGGCTGCCCCCCACCCCAGCCCAGAAACACCCTCACGAAGCACTCCTCGGTGGCACAGAGAGCTTCGTTCCCTTCACTGGGCTCCTACAGGAAAAGTGCAAGGCACTTTATTCTTCTGTGTAAACAGTTCTCTACCTGAGGATAAGTGATCTCCACAATTCACTGTAAATGCTACCGTCTCCAGAGCTACTCCTCTTACCATGTGTCCCCTGATGGAGTTTTGACTAGGCTCTCCCATCCCTAGGCTGGGGTGTCTTTGTATGAGCTTTTCCTCTGCTTTGGTACAGGGATCTTCAAAAGTTAATCTCCATCTCTCGAGGCCAGATTCACCATCAGGGAGGGACATGGACACAATAGATAGGTTTACGTTTATTATACCTGGGCTCTGGGTATATTGATTATTTTCTGGTTTGTCGTTCCCTAAGAAATCTATAACCTCTTCTAATAAAATAATAATGGAAAATGATTTTAAAGGATCTATTTGTTTGTGGTCTGCTATCAAAGGAGTGTCAAAGGCACTAACCACTCAGAACCTCAGAGCTCTTAACATCTCTTCCACCTTTTTGAACAAAGTGAGCTGCCTTATCTCCATGTTTACATCCATTAGCAGAAATGTAACCAAGGAGACATGCAAAACAGAGTTGTTTGAATCCATAGTTAGGGTCTCTCGAGGGGATGACAGATGTTACACTGAAAGTCAGTGGCCAGCACATCTAACGTTGCAGTTGTGCCTTTTATAAAACCTGCTTCAATTCCTCCATGTTGCTAGGAGATGGAGAAAAATTACACACAGGCAAGGAAGAAAAGAGGTCAGATGAGATTAATAGGTGCAAATCAACATGAGACTTTGATGCTTCTTGTATTTTGCTAAAGGCACATAAATTAATGCTTCATGGCACAAGTACTTACCTCAGTACCCAGTGTCGTCAACACGTGATGAAAGAAAGCATCGAGCTCCTTCTCTTCTATGTAACCTTTTTCTAAATGCAACAAGAGATGCATAAGTGATAGTCACTTACATAGAATGACATGTGACATTTACTATTTATCTAAATTGTTTTGAATCTCACTATCTGTATAATCCCCACGGATACTGTTCTCCACTATTCCAATAACTATGTGCCAGTGTCTAACCTCTCGGAGACAAGGATTTGAATAGTAAACACACATTCAATAGTAAATGCTCTGTGCTGGGTTGATATGAATATTTGGAAAAGGAAAGCGATTAAATACATACATTTTAATCCACAGACAGACATGAATTTTAGAAGAAATCCAACCCAAGGACTTGGAAGCTTGGGAAAATTTAACAGGTGTAATTCTTGAATCTTACTTTGCAGAGTCAAAACACAGTTTAGCTATTTTCTTTATGGTTGTTGAATTATTACTAAAGATAAAGCACATGTTAAGTGGTTCCATTTTCTTTTCAAGTAGTTTTTTTGGGGTGGGGGAGTAGTGTCTTTTTGAACATTGGTAAAATTCGTCCTCCCTTTGAAGAGCACCTTTAGGGAGGGCTGACTTCAGACAGCTGCCTGCCAGCCACAAGCCTAAATATATGTCGTGATCTGTGTCATATATGGCATATCATCTTAGACACACACACACACACACAGATTGGGAGCGGGACCAAGTCCCTCCCCTGACCCTGAACTTACACAGACGTCTAGGTGTGTAGCTCCAGTATACCTAACATCTGTTTGGTTTGGTATACTGCATTAACAACGCTGGAAGACAACTTTCCCTGCGAGGAAAGACGGAAAGGGGAAACTCTAGGTCCTTTCAGAGGGGCTGGGCTGGAGCCAAGTCTACAGCTGAATGTGCCGGTGCCGTGTTCCACTTACCATCCGCGTCAAAGCGCTGCCAGACCTGCCAGAAGCCCGCGGCGTCCAAGCGCCCCTGAGTCGCTTCGCGGGCGCTGTCCATGGTGCTGATCAGGAAGCTTAGGCACCTGCCGGCGAGGAACACCCGGGAACTTTGATAGTGGCTCCTTCCTGGCTCCCTCGCCTGCTTCTTTGCTCTCTGGTTTGCTTTGAGCACCTGTCTGCGAGGGCGACTGGCGAGGCGGCGGGTGGCAGCGCCTTGGCGTCGCTACAGTCCCTAAGCCTCGACCGCGGAGCCCGCCCCCCTGCAGGCGCGCCGGTCCCCGCCCCGCTCCGCCCCCGCTCACCCCACGGGGGGGCCTCGTCTGCCTGCGCGTTGTGGGGGACTGGGGATAAAGGCGCCGTCCTTGGGCCCTCCATGGCTAACTGCCTTTGCCCTTTAAATTGTTTGCCAAACTCAGAGAAAATATTCCCCCTTACCTTTGACTGAACACCCAAACTTGTGCCCCTCTAGAGAGAGCTCCTGCAATTAAAGTGTTGGAAGAGGTGTCTGTGTTAAGGCCCTTTGGACCTGATGACTTAGAAATAGTGTGTGAGGAAAGTGGGAGTGAGGTGGAGAGGGGTGGTACTGGTAGTGGTAGGAGATTACCAGTAAGCAAGGAGACCCTCAACAGCAATTATTGGTCCCTGAGTATTTAGGGCATGCTTATTGTTATGCTATAAAGCACCATAAGGACTTGCAACTAAATAGGGATTCTGCAAGGAACTGTGGTTTAACGCAGGGTACCAGCATGTTGAGGGAAGTCTAAACTATGCCATGTTCTACCAGGAGAAGAGAGTGGGGTGGTGGGGGGGGACATGTTGGCCAACTGCAGAGCTCTTAGGTAGAAGACGTAGATGATTGTGTTTGGCTCATAAAGGCCTCACCAAGATCAAAAGACAAAAATCATTCGAAGGAACAAAAAACTCTAATGATCAGAACTGTTCAAAACTTGACTGGTTGCTTTGTGAAATAGGGAACTGATGAGTACTGATGGCTTCTGACCATGGGCTTAGGGCTTTTGGTTGAGGAATCTATAGAAAGAGCTTGGGTATTAAGAGAGTTGCACAAGATATAGAGTTTTCTTTATGACACTGACTCTCACATTAGCATTCAAATTTATTTTTTAAAAGCACATCTAGGGGCGCCTGGGTGGTTCAGTCAGTTAAGCGTCTGACTTTTGATTTTGGCTCAGGTTATGATCTCTGGGTCGTGAGATCGAGCCCCGCCTCTGGCACCATGTTGGGTGGAGACTTCTTGAGATTCCTGCCACCTCCCCACCACATACATTCTCAATCTTAAAAAAAAAAAAAAAAAAAAAGCACATATACTAAACTACAGTAGTAAAAAGAACATGACTCCCCTGGTCAGACAGTCCTGAGTTAGGTTTCCCAGCTCCATCACTTGCTAACTTTGTGACCTGGGCCATTAGTTTTCATCTGTCTGAGACTCTGTTTTCTCATCTATAAAATGAGGATTATAATATCCGATCTGGAGGGTTGCTGTGAGGATCAGAGTCCCTCATAGGAGTGCACAAAATATTATAACTTTTGTGGTCTTATAGGGGCTAAGAGGGGACTGTATGTTTTTTTTTTTTAAAATGATATGGAGAAAAAAAAAGTGAGAAACTGTCATAGCCAAGAGGAGTCTAAGAAGACATCATAATTAACTGCAATATTGTACCTTGGTTAGGATCCTGGAACAGAAAAAGGACATTAGGCAAAAGTAAAAAAAATTGAACAAATACGGACTTTGGTTAATAGTAATGAAAAACATGGTTTAGAAGCAAATAGCTCTGGGTTTAAGGTCCAGCTTTGCCTCTTACTAGCTGTGATATTAGGCAAGTTACTCAGAGGAAACCTCATTTTCTTCACCTGTAAAAATGGGGATAGTTGTAAGCATTTGCTCCTACATTGCTGTCATAAAGGTAAAATGAAAAAATACATAGACACTTCTTAGCACAGTAAACAATGTAGGTTAGCTACTGAAATGATAAATCTCCATATGTAGACATTTAGACAATGGTGAAATACGCCTCAGGATTTTTGAATAATCATCATTTCTGGGGAAGGTGATAGGTACAAATATTGGAGAACATAGCGGGACGAGAGAGTGAGTGGCTCAGTGTCCATAGTTATGTGTGGCCCTGGGTAATTATGGATACAGTGTCAAACATCAGTCAGGAAGAATAATCTGCATGAACTCACCAAGGTAGTGACTGATCTTGTTTTCTGATAAATAACGGACAAAGGAAAAATAAGGCAAATGTCAGAAGTAATAATCAGGGCCTAATGTGGTTAAATCATTGATGGCTATGATGGGCTTTGCTGCATACACAGAAATCTTGATTTTGAAGCCTGATCTCACATGCATGTGCACACACACACACACACACACACTGCTTAGAATATAAGAGCAAGCTATAAAAAAAGCACATTACAAAAGTGTGCATATAGTATGACCCAATTCTGTAAAATAAAACACGTTTCTATACGTAGAAAAAAATGGAAGGATATACAATAATGATATAAATGATGTTTATCTCTGGAATGGGGAACAGGGAGACTCATGGGTGGTTTTAATTCTGCTGTTTGTAGTTCTGCTTTAGAACTTTCTACAGTAAGCATATAACGCAAACGATTATAACTTTTAAAAATTTTTTAAAAATCTTTAAAGACTTTTTTATAAATCTAAGGGAAGGAGGAAGGAAGCACAGCTGTTCTTCTTGGAACTGGGGGCACATGGAATTCACTGGAAACACTTTCCAGGAGCCTGGCACGTGGAGTTCAGGGGGGAATTGTAATTTTCAGGTGATAACTTTTCATTTTCTTCTATCATGACGCGAGGTAGATAATGCTCAGGTACCTTGCATTCTCTCAAGTAGAGATTTCCTTGGGGGAAAACCACCCCAACCCTTGACAAAGAAGAGAGCCATTGAGAAAGTATTTTAAAATACTGAATCAGGGGCGCCTGGGTGGCTCAGTCCTTAAGCATCTGCCTTCGGCTCAGGTCATGATCCCAGGGTCCTGGGATGGAGCCTGCATCAGGGTTCCTGCTCATCCAGGAGCCTGCTTCTCCCTCTCCCACTGCTTGTGTTCCCTCTCTAGCTGTCTCTCTCTCGGTGTCAAATAAATAACTAAAATCTTTAAAAAAAAAAAAAAAGAAAAAAGAAAAACCCTTAAAAAATAAAATAAAATAAAATACTGAATCAGCAGGAATCACCTAGAAGACTGTCTCACCGCCGAGGTTCTCCTACCTGGAAGTGGAATGAGGGGAGTGGGAGTAGAAGAACCAGAGTGGTTACCTGAGACCCTCACTGTCCAACCAGAAAACTCAGAGGAAAGCAAATACAAAGTAGATAGAACCAACCTGAAACAGATTATGCAACTGATGGATTAATGTAGCCCCTTCCACAGAGATTTTAATTTAAATTGTCTGGAATGAGGACTCTGCACCGATATTTTTTTAAAAAGATTTTATTTATTTATTTGTCAGAGAGAGAGAGAGCACACAAGCAAGGGGAGGGGCAGGGGCAGAGGGAGAAGCAGGGAGCCCGATGCAGGGCTCGATCCCAGGACCCTGAGATCATGACCTGAGCCAAAGGCAGATGCTCAACCGACTGAGTCACCCAGGTGCCCTGCACTGATATTTTTTTAAAGCTCCCCTAGGAATTATATTAGAACCACTGACTAGCCCTTTGGCTATCGTATATTTTGGTCATTTTGTGATTTGGACATAGCTTCTCTAAAGGACAATATGGAAAAGGAAAAAACTTCTTAGAATTTGTACTTCTAAATCTCTCTGGTAACTTTTGACTGGTGGCTAAGACTGGGTCTGCAATGCGTTGTTTTTCTTTTTCATCCCTGCTGATTTCATTTTTTCCTGCAGTCATTTCCTGCTTTTCTCATTAGCATAGTTAACTGATGGCTGGTTGTATAAGAAACATCAGTGGTCTATAATTTGAAGCATTGTTAATTAACCCTGATGCACGCATTCAACTCTTGAGTTAGAATATCTGCATCTCCTTACAAACTCAGAATGAAATTTCTAGCTGGAAATATAAACAATGCTGTCTTTGGCATTATCTTCCCATATTTATTGAACATTTGAACATGGTATATACCTCATAGACTCTATAGTAAATCTGAGAATTTAAAGAGATTGTTTTTGTTTAATGGCACACCAGCTCCAAAGGGTAAAGAAAATAAAGTCATGAGGACCATTTTGTGGGATACAAGTGTTAAAAAACTGGCATTGCTTTACATCTACAGAAGTTTAATAAATGTCATCAAACTATACACTTGAGGAAGGCGATTATTATGTTATATGGATGATATGTCAGTACAGATGTTTAAAAATTGACAAAGTTAAAAAAAATTGACAGTGTTAATCCTACACCTCATCGTTAGTCCTGACTGTTTCTATATTCCCCGAGGACACAAAGTGGGCATATCAGGGTGTGGTGTTAACCTTTTCTTACAAGCGGTCTAGGTTTACAGAGCTCTCAAACATGACTGACTGACTCCTAGCTTGTCCATAAGGAAAATACTGTCTATTGAAAACCTGTAGAGCCCCGGGAACTGACTCGCATTCAGGAAGTCAATTTGGCTCAATTCTCTAAATATTTGTTGAGTGCTCACTAAATGCCAGGCACCGGGCAGGACTTGGAAGGGCAGTGTGGGATTGTGGCTGACAGCGGAACCGAAACAGATGACTTGAAGTTTGGGGCCCAGGAACTAGGGTCTCAAGGAGGAGTACCTCAGGAAAGTACCATGGAGTACGTGCATTACTCACTGATGAATTTTCTGCCAAAACATGAATTCATTCCATTTAATAGCATATATAGTCAATGACTTTTTTTTTTTGCCTATAAATGGCATTAATACAAGTGGACTTTCAAATGATAAAGCCTAAGATCCAAGTGAATTATTTAAAATGATGCACCTTTCTGCTATGAAATAGAGATTATTGAAACTTTCTTTGTCCTCCTGGGATCACTTCGAACTCATTTCTAGCCTCTGGCTGCTCGTTCACAGCTATTTCTGTTCTCAGCATTGCGTACGTCATGCTCGCTATTCTATCTACGGCTCCCTTCAAGGGTGACACTGTTTTCACTGCCTTTCAGCAAAGGTCTGCCTGGTATCT